GTTTTCCTTTCATTTTCTCCTCTATCTGCTAGACAGTGTTGCTTTTTCAGGGAAGTTCCTGTCCATTTCTGAGTTTTAAGGACTCATCAGCCCTTCAGAAATTGCTATCAGCAATACCAATTGCTCTCTTCCTAAAAGAGCCTATTTTAAGAATGTAGGGTGATCTGTTTTCTTACAACCTTCCAATGGCAGACCAGCACCTAGCAGGAGATAATTTCATTTTATTTGACTGCAAAAGTTACTAAACCATTGGTAGTTGCTCTAAAGCTTGAATCCATCTGCCCTAAAACTGAAAACTTAATAATTCCTTGTTCTCCAGACATGAAGGACAATTTTCAGTGTATGTAGAGTTCAGTGGTCTCTGTAGATCATTGATTTTTAAAGTCATCATATGACAAAGCTGCCAAAAACCTGTGCAGTCTGTAATTTCAGCTCTCATTCTTTAATTGAGGGTTTTTTTTTTCTTGCAAGGGTGTGTTGGTGTGGTGTTACTGACTTAACAGCCAGAGAAAGAGCCTGGATTGATAATGAAAATATTGTGGTTTTCTTTCTAGCTGTCAGTTCCCATCAGGAGTTAATAGACTGTTTCACACTGGTCATAAAATCCCTGGAACGTGGTGAGATACAGCCATGGGTATGTATTTGTATTTCACAATAGATGTTAAAATTTGAGATAGTTTCAAGTAAAAGGCAGTTCTTGTCCCTTCACTGCCCCTCATTTGTGTTGTTTTTAAATTGTGTGTTTCCCTGGTGCTGAACCTCTGAACAATATTGATGATGTTTCACAAAACATCACAAAAAGACTTGTTTATTTTTAGATTCATCAGGGGAGTAGCAGTTTCTTAAGTCAATTGATCCAGCAGTCCTACCATGGAAAGATGAAGGATGTTTCCCTCAGTGACATCACTCCCATTCAGATGCTCCTGGAGCTTGGCTTGGAGAAGTTGAAGAAGGATTATGTCAGTTTTTTCATAGGTGAGCCTGACACTTGGTAACAGCAATGGGAATTCAAGAGAAAAGGTGTTCCATGCAGGAAATAATGAACTTTTTGGTGAATCTCTAGCTCTTCCTTCCCATCTGCTGAAGCAATTCCCAGCTTTAATAGTAGAACTTTTCAGCTTTTAAATTTCAAAATTTTAAAAACTTACTTGTTTCAAAAGACACATAGTGTTGTCTTTTACCATTGTTACTGCTTCATTTCTTTTTTGGCATCTGCCATCCTGTTCTCATTTATTGTTTGTTTGCTTTTCTAATTTAATTTTTTAATTTTATTTTCACTACTTTTGTAAACTTGTATATCCTGAGGAGGGTGGTTGTCTCCAAGTACATGGTGGGTCTCTTCATTGTGCAGCCTTGGTGGTAAATAAAATCATGCCTTGACCATACCACTTTAGAGGGGTTTTCTTGTTTGCAATGAATGATCATGTCAATAAATAACATCACACTCCTGCTGACTTTGTCCTTTTGTAGAATTTCCTGTTGGATTACCTGAATGTTGCTTATATTCATCTGATACCATTATGTATTAAATTTAAAATTTTTTTCCTGCTGTTCCTTTTACAGGCCAGGAACTTGCAACAGTAACCTACTTGGTAAGATGCTTTATTTTTATTTTATAAAGCAGAGCATGCTTAGCTGATGGTGCAAATCATATAAGCTGAGAAACTGAGCTGCAGATCATGAGGCTGGAAATGTCAGAAATGCAGAAATGTCATTGTTTTGTTTCCATATTCCCAGATAATTCTCTTGATATCTGATCTGGGTCACTGTCAAGGCAGTGAACATTTTGTCACACTTTGATGGGACTTTGTTCTGAGTCTGCTGGACCACTCTAAAAAACTTGGCTTCTCCAAAGAAGCAGGAAGGTTATTTTATTTGCTGAGGGTGTGTGGTGTGTCTGTACCAATGGAGTGCTCAGGTAAGAGCAGAAGTCTTTGCTCTTCCAGGATTACTTCATCTCCACATCAGTGAATCTCCAGGAACAAGTCCACCGTGTTCAAAAGCTTCACCATATGCTGGAAATAATGGTCAGCTGTACAGGCTTACTGCAGTTCAGACATGAGAACCTCTTCCCTTTGACACAGTAATTATTTCATTTCTACTTTTGCTCTTTAAATGACAATCACAAATAGTTTGTTTGGCAGTTTTGAAGAAACACTAAAATGTTGGTGATAGTGAGACTACAGAAGGAGCAGTTGGATCTTCCTACCAAATTTTGCTTTGGGACTAAAACTGAAAAACTAAAACTGTGAACTAAAGGAAATAACAAAATGTGAGAGTATAGTTAATTTTGCACAAGGTTTGTTCTCTGTTGTACAAGCATTTCTTGAAAGAAAGTAACCTGATATCTCTTGTAGGATTTGCATGAAGTATTACAAGGAAAACCCTCTGAATGAGAAGCATGTGTTTCAGCTGCCCATCAGACCAGCTCTTGTGAAGAAATTCTATGAAGAGTAAGAGAAACTTCAGTATTTGCAGCATAAAATTCAGATGTGACTGAACACCTGACTCAATGTTGATGTTTTTTGATTATTCTCTCAGTGATAACCCTGAAGTCTGGAAGGTGGAGATAAGCAGTGGGCACGGACAGAAGGAGGTTAAAACAACGTGGCAAGTCAGTACCAGTGCTCCTGTTGAACACGGGACATCAAACAATTCAGGTGGGGAATGCTGGTGGTGAGAAATAATCAAAGCAGAGACTTCAAAGAAGTTCAGTTTTTATCCTGAGTTCAGTGGGTCTGAGCTTTATATTTACTTCTTAGCAAAAGCAAAAGGATGTCTTACCTTCTAAAAGAGTGAGGTGGCATTTACAGAATTAAGGATACTCAGAAAGTGGTGACTTTTTGCCTTCTCACCTTGGCTGAGTTACATTTTTAGAGTTTAAATGACAGTATAGTTTCAAACAGGAGATGATTGATACCCAAAATATCTTGCACCTTATTTCTAAAATGTTTGCTACTGAAACTGAGAAGGGTTTTGAAGATAAATTTCTCTGGTTTTACTGGTGGTCTCAAGTCAGAGAAGGTGAAAGGGAGAGGATCTGCCTTGCTGCAAGCCAATGCAGAACAAGAATGGGGAAGAATTAAGCAGAGAGACTGGTACAGAAATGCTTTGCCTTTTTGGCATGAGGCTTGATGTGCGGGTTTGGTAAATCTTTCCTGTCACTGATTTTTGTCATGAAGTGCTTCAGTAAAACTGCACTTGGAAAACAGTTCTGGAAGCTGCTCCATGAACTAATCTCTACCTTCTAAGAAGAGTGGCTAATCCCAACTTTTCCCTTTGTCCTTGCAGGTTTCTTGTCAGAGTCCACAGTAAATGGAAGCAGTGAAGAAAGGCTGTATTTTATTACCATGACTCAGTGCAGTCAGTTGCAGTTCACTTAAGTTGATGTTACTGAGCAAGCAGGACTGGAAAGGTACAGGAAGGGGGAAAATTCAGTGTTTTCTGTCTCAACAGAACCTTTAGAAACCGGGCTTCAAACAGTTCATCTTCACTGATTTATTTGCTTTATTACACTTAAGTGGGACCTCATTTGTTAAAAATGCAGTGCAATTATGACTGTACAGTATAAATATTTTGTAAATATGGTGGATATTTTTCATATATTTACAGACATTCAACAAAGTTGTGCACTTTGGGGTTTCATATTTTATTTTTTGATCATTAAAAATGCAATCAAACACTGTTCAAAGTGTGAATTATCTTAACCAACAAACCAAGCAATATTGTTATGTTCTTCTGGGATCAAGTGATGCTTCATCATCCTGAAGGATTTGGAAAGCTCTTCATCCAGAGCCTTCGGATCTTCAGCCAGTTTGGGTTTCTTTGTCCCTGTATTTATATTTTGGAGTATTCTTGAAAATACTTCTCTCTCCTCTTCAAATTAGTTTATTCCTTCAATGTGAAGTGAGTTATTTTAACAGTGTTGTTTTGTATGTTTTGCATATTTTTTTGAAAAAACAAAATCAGAATAATTGTTTGGACATAATCATTTAGATATGTTGGCAGTTGCATGTGTTAAGTTGATTAATCAGTGAGGTAACATTTTGGTGGTCTGATTAAAGCAATTCCGTAGTTTTGTTCATGCTGACTAGATAATCTGAGACAGAAATATTTTGCATTAAAAACTTAACTATGGATAAGTAAGAATAAGGAAAACCCCCAATATTCATGCTTTAAAAAACTATACATGATAGAGTATTATTGTGAATTTTTATAACTTCTGGTTTTAAGCAAAGCTGTATTTCAAGTACAGCCAGCTGAATTGTGGAACCAAGTTGTTACAGTACTTGTTTCTACCTGCAGTAGAAGGGAATTTTAGGTGGAATATTAATTTTGGAAGTGCTTAGATTACTTAAATTCCACATTTTTGTGTGTAATATATTATAAAGTTATAAAAGGTAAGTTTAAATTTCAGAGATGTGGTTTAAATCTGATTTAGAAATTGTCACCTTGGATTACTCACTTCAAACAACTCTTCATCACAACTAAATAGCAAGGTATGTATTATCCTAACTTTTAGATATGAATAAGTTCACATTTAAGCAGTGCTCTTGGAGTATTTAAGTCCTTTTATATTTTAAAATCATGTCTGTCTTTCTTCAAATAGCAATTACATGGTAATCAAAATGCTGTTGATGAACAGACTGAAATCAGAACTTGCAAGCAGCTTTTAATCACTTAAAATTTGTAAGGTTTTAATCACTTTACTCTTATCTATTTTTCTGATGAACAAAATATGTAATAGTTTGCAAAATAATAAGGATTGTAAAATCTACTACTTAGAATCAGTGAAAAGAGAATGTATTTTGTATTTTGGTAAAAACAAAAAAATGTTTTGGGAATTGAATAGAAAAACTATAAAAGCTCTAGGTGGATTGATAAATACTATTTCATTACAGGAGTATAAAAAGAACCATCTGTGGTAAATTTTAACTACTCAAATAAAGCAGTTGCAGCTTAGTCCTTTTGGCAAATGATGATGTGTGCAAACATCAATTTTAGCTGTGGTTTCGAAGGTAGAATATGAGGAGGACAATACTGATGAGAATGCAGAGTGTGAAAACTGTAGGAAGAACAATCTCTGTCACCATTTCCATGTGAGTAATCAGGGAATCTAAAATTTGAGAAATGAGGAATATGTAAGAGATTTAATCCCCTGGAGTACAGTAATACCTAACTTAGAGTTAACATAAAGATTTTTTTTGAACATAAAAGTGTTGACACTGGCATAAACAGCAAACAAAGCAAACAGAATTTCCTAAGTCTGCAGAAACTGGAGCAAATCCATGATAGTTTTTTCTCTCTTTTTCTTTTTAAGTTAAATTTCTGAAAATATGTCAGTGGTCAAAGGGGTGCAGAAATTGTCCTTGCTGTGAATTAGCTGCAATGCATTAACAATAAATTACTGGTCCTCTGTCATATATTTCCCTCACTTCAAGGTGAAAGAAAATTGTCAAAGAGAAATCCTTAGGAAGCTTTGGTCTTTTTATGATTGCTCTGTATCTACTTGAAAAATTAAATGGGTTTTATTTTGTAGAACTTTATTCCACAGAGAAGCCTGGAAGAGCTCTGTAAACCCACTTCGTTTACACTGAGCATGACTTGGAAGTGGAGGCTGAGCAAGATTAACCTAAATTGACTGCTGGGATGTTTCCTACCACATGGAATTTAGCTCATTTTTTAAAAATCTATAGTAGTTATTTGATCTTTCTTAATAAAATCCCTACTTCAGGAATGCTGAAGTAGGAGGAGGTTTTTTGGGTGTTCTGGCTCAGTTGTGTTGGGGTTTCTTTGTTACCAGGAGCATCAGAGCCCAAATTTAATCTTAGGCCAGTCCTTAGCCCTTTTATTTCTTCTTTTCTTTTTGTTCCACTTTATGTAAAAGTCAAATATTTAGAGATTTTCTATGTGGTTGTCTTGATTTATCTGGGTTTGGTTTGTGTTTGAAAAAGCATTCAGCATTTTTATTTTAAGGAGAAAGCTGTCATCCCCAACCTCAGTTTTAAGTAGTAGCTCTTCCAGTTTCTGTATTTCAGTAACATCCACAGCTGATCCATTTAGCTACAGTGTTTTTAGTTGGAGTCAATAAATATAAACATTTTTCTTTAGAGGCTTGTAGTGCTTTTGGGGAGAAAATACCTTTTAGCAGCATTCAGAGAGCAATTTAATAGCTGAACTTTACAGAATCTGCTTTTATAGAGCAAAACAGAGGCATCCTTACCTGCAGCAAGGTGTTGTTGTGTGGCAGAGCAGGTGTCCATGGCCTTCTGATGCCAGTTTTCCACCTGGGAAGGGTGACAGTTCTGAGAGACTGAGCATCCTCCTCACTCCCACAATTGTCCCTGCACCTAACTTAAAACCACTTTATTCTCCCAACACATGGGTTTCTGAAAGGTTCTTTGTGGTTTTTATTCCAGTGTATTTCTTGGAGTTAATTGTTTAATAAAGCTTTTAATGGTACATAATACATTCCAGGTTATTTTCCAGTAGGATAGTACATATGTGGAGTTTTCTGCCTAGAAATCTTGACAGCACTGCTAAATAACTTCTGATTGAGAATTTTTGACTGCATTAGTAAGTCCAGTTGGAGTTTGTGGAATGCTTTAGAAACAGTAATTGAGGCTGTTCCCACTGTCAATATCTGAGTATCTCTGTATTAAACAGATCCCTATTTTAGAGAACCAAAGTGTCACTTCTGTACCATATTCATACAAGTTGTTTCCTGAAATTCAATGTGACATTTGCACATAAAGAAGAAGGGAAAAAAAAATCAAAATTAGCAGCTGACATCACCTCTCTTGGGTTTGGGAATCCATTTGCACTGATAATCTTTTTATAGTAGTCAACAGATGCCTTTGGGTACCGTGGTTTGTTCTTGTTCTTGAAGTCAATGTGGTAAAGCCCAAATCTTTCAGAGAAGCCTTTGTTCCATTCAAATTTATCCAGCAGAGACCAGGCAGTGTAACCTTTGACATTTACACCATCATTTAGAGCTGGAAACGGAACACAAATCACTGATAAAGGTGGGTTTTGTCTTGAAAATGGTTCCGTAAATGTTTTGGTTTATAGCAGGAACAGATGGGGAGGAGGACAGAAAAATGAAGCACAAATTAATTCAGATTCTTTGAATTGTTGTCTTTAGCTTAGAGATACTAGAAATCTATGGACATGATAATTTCTCCTTTCTGAGAGTGGAAACTGATGATTTATTGCAGTATTAAATCTCAGGTAGGTTATTGTAATTATTAGTATTAATATGTTTGCTTAGGTTATCATTTTGGTGAAAATTTGAGGGTCTGGTTTGCTGTCCATTTTGACTTGTGAATAGTTATTTCTCTGTGATGGAAAGGACAAAGTAAAAAATAAGCAGAAGGTGAAAACACCCTGAAAATCAAATCCCATAAAGCTGTTTTTAAGTGACCTTTGAGTATCTCGTTGATGTATCCCTTCAGGTACTGGATCCTCCACTCGTCACACAGCTGAGGGCACTGCACAGTTTCAGACATTCCATTCTCTGTCACATAAATCAGGGGGTTCCCATACTGGGTCTGCAAATAGGAATGTTTAAATTGCTTCACATAAAATCATTTCATTTTGACAGAATATATGAATTAGCAAAGTGCATTAAAAACAATTTTCTACATTTAGTTACCTAAGTAAGAAGAATATGTAGTAGGAATTTAAGTTAACTATGGGGTTTATTTTAAAATTACTGAATTCTGTAGTTTTCTGAGCTGAAATTAAGGGTTTTTTGACAATAGGATAAGACCAATAGCTGAAACTGTTGAAAATCTAAATCTACACCAGGCATTTTGTTTGCTTCCTTTCTAATTAAAGATCTGCTCTACTCACCTTAATGAAGTTGAGCAACCTTCTGAACCCCCAGGGCACAGAGTAGAGCCACTTAGGGCCTGGAGCTGGCCAGTTGGGGTCCACCAGTTCAGCCAGGTCATGGTCAGTGTGGTAACTGGACACTTGGAGGAAGGGAAAGTTCTTCTGCAGAACATAACGAGTGGTAAAATGACCAATTCCCAGGAAATCCGAGGTGCCTTTAATATAGGTTTTCTCTTGAACTGAAAAAGTTGGTAATCTTGATGTCCCCAGGCCCTGCTGGGCACTCTTCCTGCCTAGCAAAATAATTACAGGAAACAACTTCTGAGGAGCACAGAAATTGGTTTTCTTTATCTCACAAGCAATAAATCATAGAATCATAAAATCATGGATGGTTTGGGTTGGAAGGGACTTCTAAAATCATCACCTTACCCCCTGCCATGGGCAGGGACACCTTCTACTATCCCAGGATGCTCCCAGCCCTGTCCAGCCTGGCCTGGGACACTTCAGGGACCCAGGGGCAGCCCCAGCTTCTCTGTGCTGGGGACAAATAGGGTTTTCCTGAATTTAGTGTTAATGTCGAGGGCACCTGAGTTTAACTGGTTTTTTAAAATGGGATAATATTTCATCCTTTTGGGTTGGAGAATTAAGTTGGGTACAATACATGGAGAAACAGTGGTTTAAAGTGTCCTGGTGTGTCCCCAAAGTGCTTTAGGAGCTGTGTCCAGCCTGGGGGCCTTTGCTTTGCTGTGTTGTTGAGGCAGGGACGGGAATGAAGAGGCTCTATCTTCAGAAGGCAAAGAATGATCTTTATTCAAAAGCACCTCTCTCCTTTATAGAGAACATTGTGAACATTAATTTCATTAATTCATTAATTAATTTCAAACAACATTTCACCTGATTGGTACACTTGGACTTAGGTCAGCGTGGTAGAACATACCTATAAACACTATGAGCAGAAAACAAGATAATAGATTGTTTACATTCCTCCCAGACTTTTTCCCAGGCTTAGCCTGGCAGAAATCTTTCTCTGTTTCTCTCTGACTGAAATTATAATATCCACATCTCCCCTGTGCCCTGACTTGACTAAAGCACACACTGGCCAGGAGTTATTCCCCTGTAATGTGCTGGAATCTGTTCATGTCACAGCTACTGGGACTTACCTACATAATTCTTCATAACTTCTGGGTAGTCCCCTCTGTAAATGGGGTTTGCAAACCATCCCAGGTGGAACTGGATGTACCTCTCAGCAGCATCTCTGTCTGTTTGGCTGTGTGGATCGACAGGCTCCCCCCAGCCACTCGTTAGGGAAATTCCAACCATCCCTTAAAACAAAGGGACACTTCTGCAGTTCTTGAAGCCCTTAACAGAAACAGCAGCACAATCACAGAATGAATCCTCATTACCTCTCTGCTCCCTTCGCCAGGTGCTGTTGTAGGAGTGCCAAACCTTGGCATGAGTCTGTAAAAATAATGTAGAAATAGAATAAATCATGTGGCATTTTCATCTCTTAGGGCATGGAAAGCTGGTGAGCACTTTTTGCACTGAAGTCGGCCTGAAAATACCACAGAATTTTTTTTTTGGTGTTTATTACAGAAAGTTTGATTTCGTGTAAGACATCACAAAGTCCTTTATGCAAGATTCCTTCCCTGAATTCCAGGACATCCACATGGAGCTGCCACAGCCCTCAGGACAGGGTTCTGGTTCTGTCCCTTGGCTCTGCTCTTTGGATGGCTTTCCCTAATTTATTCAGGCAGATGAAAGATTCATTTTTACCAGAAACTTCCTGAAGTCACTTGCAACATTCAGATACATTTCAACAGGCCAGGATGTTTGTTTCTAGACTAACCTGGATGTTTTCTTTTTCAATCACATTGAAACAAACTAGAAGTGACATTTATAAGGAAATTCAAATTGTTGCAAGTGTGAAATCAAGCACCGAACATTGGTAGTGCCTTGGATTCTGCACTGGATGTTTAAAACCAGATGATAATTTCAGTGTCCTACTTGGAAATTACAGCTATATGTCAGTTTAAAGAGTGTACTCTGATAAAAATCCTGAACTGACACATAATTTGAGGAGGATTTTTACTTTAATGATGTGATGAGCAGCCTTGTAGGCGCCGCAGCCGCCGAGCTTCAGTCCTGGCGCGTGTTCTCCTGTTTCATAGCCCTTTTCAGCTACTGCCTGCAAACAGAGTCACAGAGTCAGTCCTTCTCTGGGCTCCAGGGATGTGCTCCATCCTCTGCATCCTGTGCTCCCCAATCCCCTCTTCCCTTCCTTGGCTCCCATCTCCTGCCTGCTTGTACTGAGCTCAGAGTATTGGTGAGGAGGGTTAGAGGGGTGAGCTGAGTAATGGGGAAATAACAGCTGCCTTTCCACTTCTTCATTTCTAATTTCAGTCTCTCCAGCTGAGGAGTTTTCAAAATTTTCCTGGAATTTCATGTCGTAAAACCCTGCCCTTGTGCAAAATCTGCTCGCTGAGATTTTTGGCCACAAAGATTAATGGTTTAAATATTTCTCCTTTCCTTTTTTTTTTCACCTGCTCCTCTCTAGTGTCACTCCCACAGAATTTTGGGAACAGACCAGTGCAATGGGAGAGTTTGGAAGGAAAGCATTCATGACTTACCCAAGGATTGCTGAATGTAATCCAGTGTTTCACACGGTCACCAAACTTCTCAAAACACAGATTTGCATAATCATTAAAATAATTAATCATGCTTATATTCTGCCAGCCACCATACTTTTCTTGGAGAACCTTTGGAAATAAGAATTTCAAGATTCAATAATTTTACTTGAAGGTCAGCTGCTGCTTAAAATATACTTTTATTTCTATTTAATTCTGTTTCTATTTCTAGCTCAGAAAGGTTTTTTAAAACTTCAATGCACATAAAATCCAAATGAACAGGAAATACTTACAAATTCTTAAAATCATGCAGGTTTTTCTAATTTTCTTTAAGTACTCTTAGTTCTTAACCTGAGGAAATTATTTCTATCAGAAGGCTTTATTTGAGGTGTTTTACTAATTCAAATATTGTCTGACCTGTGGCAGATCCCAGTGGTAGAGGCTCACAATAGGGGTGATGTTGTTTTCCAGAAGACTGTTAATTGTGTCATTGTAGAATTGTATTCCCTTCTCATTCAGTTGCTCAGCTGATGAAAAGCAAAGACAAGGAATTACCTGCATTGGTTCCCAAATAACTGGAAGGACAGAAATCTAAAAATATTAAACAAGGAATTTTACAGTACAGTGTTGGGAATTCTGTAATGCAGACAAATAGAAATCTGGGTAACAGCTGTGTTCAACCAGGTAAATTCTGGTTGAACAACTGTGGGTTACTCAGGAGTAAAATCCCTTAAAGGTAAGAATATTGGGAAGAATGTGGTGAAATTGTGCTTACCTTTGATGCCTGTGGGCATAATCCTTGGCCATGAGATAGACAAGAGGTAGTGATTGACCTTCAGCTCCTTCAGTAACTGAATGTCATCCTGTGAGAAGAAAATCCAGTTAACACATCCTGAGGCCAAGCAGAATAACTTCAGTTCTTAACTAATTCTGAATGCAGAAAATCCATGGAAGATTTGCATAAAAGAGGATTCAGTCTGTTTTTTCTAATCTTTGAGGTGATGGCTCGTTCTGCTTGAAGCCTTCCTCTTTAACCACTGTTTTTGACAGTCCAAAGAAGTCCTGTAATGTTTTATGCAACTGTGGAGACTGAATGTTTGCACTACAGAAAAATGAGCTGAGGTTTTGCAGTACAATTATATTTATATCAGAATTTGTGTTAGAAAATAATAGAGGCCTGTAAATCTTGACTTCAAACATTTCAGGTCAGGCTCAAAAACATAATTACTTGGACTTTCCTTTACTGTCTAATACTGGAATGAGAAAACCCCCTAAATCCCATATGAATATATGTTCTTTTGCTAAGAAATTGTACATCTTCAGTGTTCAGTGAAAGTAGAAATTGGTGGTATTTGTGCCAAAGCAAAGAGAATTCTGATGATGAAAGCAAAAAGTGCTCTGATATAAAGAGGACCAGGTAAGTGGACAAATACAAGCAAGTTTTAGAAAGTATTTCTAAATCCAAATTTTCTCAGTGTCAATCTCTTCTGGTGCCACACCCCAATGAGGCTCAGAGTCCCAGCTTCTCTGAGATACTTTTTAAGCTCTTTCAAACTTTTTAAAGTTCTTTCAAACTTCTGGTTTGAGAGGTCAAATGAAACCTCTCCTGCATTTTCCCATTTTAGGGAGAGTAAGGCATAATTAGTTTCTTTTCTCTTAGTTCTTGCTGAGGTCTCTGGTTCTCCCTTGGACTTCATCTATGTGGAGTCTATATTCATCTATATTCTCACTGGAATATAACTTTTATTAAATTAGTTGCAATTCCAATTATGTAACCCTGCCTTCTCATAGTCATTTGGATTCCTCTTGCTGTGTATCTGTCTTTCCTCCAGCACAGTAATTTGAAAATTGGTTTTGATGGTATTAGCCTTGGAAACATGTTGTGAACAGAGCTGCATTGATTATTTGTTTGTTATCCTTTCAAAAAATGGGCAACATCCAGACTGAATTTTAAAGCCTCTGAAAAATACATAGAAAACCTCATACATGCACACACACACAAAATGTTAATTTTATTTAAAGGTCAGATATGTTTTTTGTATTTCTAACTAAGCATTTGGACTTCCTACAGCATCTAGAATATTTTTTGGACACAAAAATCCTGAAAAGCTGAGATGTATTTGGGAAACACTGTGGGATTATTGGTTTTATGAGATTATAAAGGAAGATAATTTTACTGTACTGATTAAAAATATCAGCACTTGGATTTCTAAGTTGAATAACCTTTAGAGCAGCTAAGTTGTTCCTTCAAAACAGGAAAGCAGGACTGAGGGATGGCCCCAGAACATTTGCAAGGTGCAGTGAGTTCCTCTCGAGCCGTACCTTGACTCTGTAGTAGCCATCACAGGCAGAATCTCCCGTCTCGTTCCCCAGCACCTTCCCTTTGCCGTGAGTGAAGGCGTCCCAGATGCTCGGCCCTTTGCCATCCTTGTCCCACGCCCCTTCGGTCTGGTAGGCAGAACTTCCCACACCCCACAAGAAACCTGAGGGGAAAACCAGGGCAGTTACTGAAACGTGTTCCTGCTGAATGCTCTTGGTGCTGAATGTTCGTAGGAGAAAGGAACTGCAAGTGTGAGTGAGCACTGCTGGAGAGACCCAGATTTTCTACATTTCAGAATGTGTCTGTGCCTAAATAGGTCTGAAAATGGGGAATAAATGAAGCTGTCCTGTTCTGATCCGTTGAAAAAGAAATTGAATATTTTCATTTAAGCCTGTAAAATCTGTATTTTACAGTGATGAGGTAGGTCATTGATTGCAGAAATGTCTTACTGTAAAAAACAAATTAGGTTTCCACATAATTTCTCCCTCCTGGTTTTCACGGTAGTTTTAGCAACTACAAGTTTAGATGTTATGTAAAATATACAGAAATATTCTGGATTATTTTCCTATTGTTACATAAAATACCATATCATAAATGACTTAAAAACTTGAGCATGGAAAGCAATCAGTGCCTGTATCTTTCTGGTTTTGCTTTTGCTTGGATGAAATGTGTTTAAATACGTGTTGAAGAAAGGATAAGGTTTATAAATCCATACTGAAGAGTGGATTGGATAATACTGAACAGCTTGAAACAAAACCCAGCACGGTTATTTCACTGATTTCTTAAATTAGCTGCATAACAAAGGGTATTTTTGTTTATTTCATTAATTGTAGGTAATTTATAAAAAGGAGAAGAGTTCTCAGGTATGCCTCGTTACACTTGGATATGAGCTGTTATGTGTGAGCCTTTCCTCTGGATTTCCTGTTGGAGTGGATCTGTGGAATGCAGGCTCCTGTGGATCCCTGTGTGCCCAGGAGCAGATCCCAAAGCGTTCTGCATTCTGCAGCCACCTCCATTTCTGTTCCTGCCATTTCCCTGGAAGGACACAGAAAACCTCTGCCTCACTTCCTTGTGCAAACACAGGAGCGGATCTAGAAGGTTCCAAGCCCCAAAGCAGCCGGGTTTGGACGGTACCAGCTGGAAAAGTGCCGTAGTAGAAGGAGCCTGGGTTGTTCTTGGTCCACGGGAAGTCCTCGGCCACGCTCAGTCCCACCGCTGCCACCAGCACCGCCCAGCAGCTCAGGGTGTCCCTCCTCATCCTCCCCAGCTGTCCCTGCCAGGGAAAACACGAGAGCTCTCTCAGGGGCTGCTGCTCCACAAATCTGTGCGGTCCAAAGGGAAAAGCTGATTTTTTTCTGCTGAATGGGAGCTATAATTGAAGGCTGAAAGCTTGGGCGGAGTGGAAGGAGCAGTTAAACGTCTGACAGGGTGGGGAAAATGAGGGAAGATTGATCACCTCAATCAAAATTATAATTATTAGAAGCCACATATTTTCTCTAATGTTACTTATCTTTATTCTAAAGGTCTCTTTGTTGGTACCTATTTTGTTCTGAATTTCAAACTGTTCCACAAATATCAGTAAGTAAAACCCTCTGACCATGACAAAAAGAAACAATTATTCTGGTGGCATCTTCCCACCTGTCATGGCAACAAGCCCTGTGGAAGTTGAAAAGGAAAACTAATACTTTCAATTATTGCAGTTTTAATTAATTTCAGCTTTTATCTTGATGTTGTCCTTTTTATGCAGTCCCAGCCTCAATTTTGAACTGTGACATCGAGTTAAATTATTAGAGACACATTTTAGCTGAGCTAAATAAAGTTTCAGAAGGGCTTTTTAGAAAAGCTCTGTTTCCCCAAATTGATACAGTCCCCAAAGGATGTTTTGCATTCCTGAGCATCTGTTGATGAATCTGAGGATGAGGCTGGACCATGAGGAAAAGCAGAACAAATATTTTAAATAGTCATGTTTTCATTGGAGTACCTGAGCTGCTTTGCAGGTTGGATTCTGACCAGAATGAACCCCAAAATGTGGCAAAAAACAAAAGGCAAAGGACTGAGCCCCTTTTCAGAACATGTAATAAATGTACAACCTCAGAGACCTCCTGTTCCTGTTTATTAATGATCATCCCATATCTCTAATTAACACAGGAACTGCACAGCTGGCTTGGGAAAATGGAACTACTTCAGCACTCAAGGCTTTAGTCCTGGATTAAAAATACCTCCATCTCGGCATTCCAAATGGGAGCATTTAGATTACAGGGTTAAAAAAAGCTTGTAGCAGACGACAAACATTTTAAATCAGGTCTAAATCTTCTAGAATTGCTTTTATTTTGAATATAAAATGTCGCAAATACATGTGATTTTAACTAGACATTGCCAGAACCTCTCTGTTTTAGTCAGTAAATTTAAATTTAGCATTGCCCTTCATCTTCTCATTAGCCCTGACCAACAGTCCCAGGAAAAGGAGGCAGGAGAGCAGGAAATGTTCCAGGGGGTCTGTGCATGTTTCTGCAGCTGAGCACTGCCCCAGGGCAGCAGGGCTGTGTGGTTTTAGAGTGCTGCCAGGAGCTAGGAACTCCTTTGGAATTAGGCATAACAACAAAATCAATGGTTTTTTTCACTTTTGGCTTGATTATTCTTAGTAGTAGAATTAGAAATTATTTCAGTACCTCAAGAACAATAAAGCACTTTAGGATTTTACAGCACCCTGTATTGGATAAAACAATCTGTGCACAGTCTGCTGTGGGATATTCATCAAACACTTTCAAATTCTTATGTGCATTTTGGAACTTTGCATTGCTCTGGTTTTCTGGCATGTATCTCTACAAACACAGTAGAAGAAACAGCTTTTCCAATAGTACAAAAAGGTTGGATAAGTTCAGACTGTAAGGTTGGTCCTGTAAAAGCCTTTTCACCCCTTGGTCTGGCAGCTGGGATCCCTTGTGCCCTGATTGTAGCTGGAGTTATTTCCATTTCCCCCATCCCTGCCTTACCTGGTTCTTCACAACAGATGTGTCCTGTCTGGGAGATTCCTCTGAACTGCCACAAACCTACCAGGGCATTCAGAATAAATTTACTTGCCCAGAATAATTGCATGGAGTTAATCCAGGCTATCACAAAACCTCGGGAGAAACATCTAGTTGCAAACAGCATTTTGTTCACTTACAGTCACAACAAAAAAGAACAATCCTTTTGTATCCAGTCAATGCTGCAGGACAAGCTTTAGCTTAACCACAGGAATCTGTTAGCAATGAGGATTTTCCTTTGTAAGCAAAATTAGCTTTGCACTCATCTATACATTCATACAGGACTGCCTCTTGAACTGAGGGTTTGCAGATCTTTTTCATCAGGAATTGCAGTGATGGTTGAAGGATGGGTTCAAACTGAAAGGGGAAATTTAGGTGAGATATATGGAAGAAATTCCCTGTGAGGGTGGGCAGGCCCTGGCACAGGTGCCCAGAGCAGCTGCGGCTGCCCCTGGATCCCTGGGAATGTCCCAGGCCAGGTTGGATGGGGCTTGGAGCAGCCTGGGACAGTGGAAAGAGTCCCTGCCATGGCAGGGCAGGGGTGGAATCCGGTACAGACACATCTTTAATGTCCCTTCCAACTCAGAGCATGCTGGAATTCTGAATTCTATGATTTTCTCTTGGTGCAGATACCTGTGTCCTGGATGGTGTTTGGCAGGGAGAACTCAGTGACAGATTTGGTGAGGCCAAGGGCTTTGATTTTACGTGACATCATTTAAAATCAGATAATTAAGATGTAGGCTTGAAAAAATCACATGCTTTTACTTTTATTTCTAAAGGAATTCTTTCTGGTGGTGTCTTTGTGGCAAAAACAAAGTCTGGATATTCAGCTCAAGCTACAACTCCTCATTTTTTTCACTTCTGGAGTTACATCCAGTCCCTCTCACAGATAATGTCCACTGAAAAGGCACAGAACCAGGTAAGCACTGCTGGGCCGAAAATGTGATTTCAGATTTTTCTGCACTTTTCTGGCTCTCAGGTGAGAACTCTCTGTGCTGAGGGAGAGGGGCAGAGCCTGGAGGTCACTGCTGCCCCGTGCCTGAGCCAGGGCACAGGGGGCTCTGGGCACGAACACAACAAAGGTGTGGGAGCTTTTCCCACCCCCACCCTGAGGAAAGGGATCTCTGGGCAAGGGGAGCCTGGCAGGGGCAGCAGCAGCAGCTCAGCTCCTTTTGATGGTGGGGGATTTCCTCCTCCCTGCTGTGCACCCCAGAGCTGCTGGATGCTCTGGCTGGGTGACTGCTGCCTAGAACCTGCTCTCCTGTGCTTTTGCAGCTGTACAGTTTGTAAACAAAGTCCTCTTTTTTCCTTTGGTTACCTAGTTTTGTCTTTTTTGCCTTTTTAATATTTTTTTTTTCCCCTGAGTAGTGTTGGTGCCCTCGCGTGGCCAATTTCATAACTGAGAATGTTGCCTGGTAGGGTCAAATAAATATCAACATTGCAGTTCTTACAGAGCCTCTCAGAAGAGAGATCGCCGAGATCTTACAGAGATCTCAGAAGTAAAATGTGCACTGAAATGAGAGCAGGAATATCACCAGGAGCTCCTTGTTCCTCCCTGCAGGTCTCTCTGTCCACTTGCCTGCCCCCCTGCTCCTCAGGAGGGACAGAGGTGATGATCCTTGAAAATCCTTCTGCACACAAAGGGCAGTGCTGTTTACACAGCTTCTGCTGCAGGGGACATGGGTGCTGAAGGCACGTTTTTATCTTTTTTTTTGGGCATTTGGCATATTTCATCTCCTGCAGAACCAGGTAGGGCAGTGAACCAGAGTCACCACAGCGCCGAACGACACCAGAGGTGTGGTGATTAAGGGTGGGCATTACTCATTCCTCATTAAATCATAATTGCACCTACAAACACCTCAAGAACAAAGGCTTTGGCACTCCAGGAGAGGCTGGGACTGTTCAGAGAGCTGGCAGGGGAGCAGACTGACAGCTCAGCCCTCTCTCCATGTGAGGAGCTGCATGGATCTCACACAGGGAGCTTGGATCAGGCCAGGGCTGAGCTCAGAGCTCTGCTCTGGCTGCCTGGTGCCATATTCACAAGCCAGGCTGCTGCTCTAGGGCATCCCTGAAGTCACTTGGTGAATTGTCACTGACCCAGTGGTCAGGAGGAGGCAGCCCTTGGTGAGCATGAAAACATAATCCTTTCCAACTGCATTTAACATGGGCTGCCAGGAACATGATGCTGTTCCATTCTAAGTTGTGTTTGCACAGGTTTTCTTCTCTTAACATAATCTTTTCCTGTGATGTTGTTTCCCAGTTTCCTGCATAAAACCCCAAATTAAAAAAAAAAAAAAAAAAAAAAAATCATATTTACATTGTGGCAGCTTGGTCATTTTTTCCTCTTGGAAAAGTTTTATTAGCAGCAGTTTTTGAACCTTGCCAGAAACACATCAAGGCTATAAAATCTTTTATTGTGTTTTATTGGTAAAAAGAATGTTTTTTAAAAAATCTACTCCTTGGAGTCCATCCAAAATTGCCCAGTGAAGTAAAATGCAGTAAAATAACCTGGAAAGCAGCTTCTGCAGTGGGCTCACTCCATGACTGTGAAGTCAGGGGCTGACTCTGAGAGTGCTTCACTTGTCTCCAGCCTGGAGTGCATTTTATGCTGGAGATATTTATGGCTTCTCTTGCTGCAGGATCTGTGTGAGCACATCACAGAACCTTTGGCACAGAGCCCACTGTGCTTATCCTCCCACTTTATTTTCTATCTGTTCCACTTTGTGTTGCAAAACTTCTTATCTCCAGCTAGACACCAGGGATGGAGCCACCCCTAACAGCAAACACCCTAAACCTGCTACTTATTGGATTTTTGCTTTTAGCCCCTGTGTTTTGAGGAAAAAGGAGAAGCTGTCTTTCCTAATTCCTGGCAGCTGTTCAGACAATGAGACCACATCAACCTCACACAATTCTGACCTATCTCCTCAGCTTCCTGATTCTTCATTCTTCTGAGCTACACTCCCTTCCCAACCTTGAATAGGCCTTTTCTGTCTCAGAGAGAAAAATCCTTTCTTATTATACAGCCACAGAAAATTTTTCCAGTGTGTGGTCTGCTGCAACTACACTGAGATATTGGAGTTTTTTCCAAATCAAAACAAAACCCACTTACAATTGTTCTTGGAACAAGAACACTTGTGTAACTGTGCTTGTATTTTTCTGTGTTACAAAATGACTTTCTTTGCATTATATTTGCTGCTTTTGGAAACTTTTTGTCCAAAGCTCAACTGGGTTTATGACCTGGTTTTGTTTTTCAGAGAAAAACATTGGAATTATGGAAGAATATTGGAAGGAAAAGAAATTGCTATACTGTGGGGAACACCAGTCTGGTATCCTGGGAAATCTGTGGGCAGCTTCTGGAGACAGTCTCCATTGCAAGAAAACCTCCAGAGTCTGGGAGATCTTGTGTTTGAACTGGGATTCCTGAGAAAAGGTGGAGATGAGTGATTCTGAAACGTACACTGAATTTCCTTAGCAGCTCTTGCATTCTAATGAAAGACACTGCTCTCATATTTTATTGAGCTCATTGAGGAGCTGCTATCAGTAGCCACTGGCTTTATTGGGGTCATTATTTAAAAAAATTAAACTTTTCGAGAACCTGCCACCTCTGTTTTGCAAAGATTGTAAAGATTGGCAAGGACAGGATAAATCTGCAGAATCTATTCTGGCTGTACTAAAATCTCCAATTTTCAAGGTGTCATTTTCAAAACAAACTGTATATTTTTAATGTTTCTTGGTGTGTGCAGAAAGGTGCAGACAATTCCTCCTTTTATGGAACTCCCAGATGGTCAAAACTCCTGAGACTTGGCACTGACACAGTCAAAGGTGCACACTGAATTTGGAATGCCCAAGCTCAGTGGTTGGCTAAAAATCCCAGCCATGATATATAATAAATGACAGATGTTATAGATACTCCTGGGTGCAATGAGGAAGGTCACAGAAATTTGCTTCTAAAAATCAATTTTAATTTCTCTTTTCCTGCTGACAGCTTGGTGCTAAGGGTGGGTCTCCATTTGATGTGAGCCCTGCAAGCTGCTGCAGGCTACCAGTGATTGGAATTTACTTGGATTAGTCTAATTGCTGCCTCTGCCATCATCTGTTTGCAATCACAAAGAGGAAGCTTCTGAAGCTTGGGAATGAGGGAAAATGAAGTGTCCTGACAACCACAAAACAGCAAGAAAGCTTTTGGAGGTTTTCCCACC